CAATGTAAAATATGTCAAGCTTTCAAGGGAACTTCTCAAAATATTGGTTTGTATACTCCTCTTCCAATTCCAAATAAACATTGGGAAGATATATCTATGAATTTTGTTTTAGGGTTGTCTGTTACTGCAAGAAAATATGATTTTTTTTTTGTTGTTGTGAACCGATTTAGCAAAATGACAAACTTTATTCCATGCAACAAAACTTTTGATGCTTCATATATTGTTGATTTATTTTTTAAAGAAATTGTTCGTCTCTATGACATTCCTCGAGCATTTACTTCTGATAGGAATACTAGATTTTTGAGTCACTTTTGGAAAACACTTTTGGCAAAGTTAGGACTACTCTTCAGTTTAGTAGTGCATAGCATCCACAAACCGATGGACAAACTGAAGTTGTCAATTGAATCTTAAGAAATTTACTGAAATGCCTTGCTGGTGAGAAACCATCCCAACAGGATTTGATATTGCCCCAAGCTGAGTTTGTATATAATAATTATGTTAATCGCTCCACTAGTAAAACTCCCTTTGATTAAAGTCAGCTTATATCTCACATTTTAGATAGAAATTGTTTGTCTTTACCTAAAAAGGCTAGTGCTAAAGCCATAGAAACTTTTGATCATGTCAAATATGTCCAACAGCAAGTCCTTGAAAAACTCTGAATGACTAATGTTAAATACAAATATACTGCTAACAAACACCGGAGGGAAGTTTATTTAAAGGAGGGTGATTTGGTTATGGCTTACTTTCATCGCTAATGATTTCCTGTTGGTACTTTTGGCAAATTAAGCAAGAAGAAATTTGGACCTTTTCATATTTTACGAAAGTTGGGCATGAATGCCTATCTCTTGGATCTTCCAACTACTGTTGGAACTTCTCCTATATTTAATGTCTATGACCTTTCTTTAAATAAAGGAAATTCTGATGATTCTGTGGAAGTTGAAACTTAGTCACTTTCCACATCAGTTCTAAACAGTGATGATCAGATTGAAGATGTGATTGATGTCAGGATTACTAAGACTAGACATGGAGAACACAAAAGGTTCCTGGTTAAATGGAACAATCATCCATTGACATACTGTACATGGATGGATGCTATTGAGCTTAAAAATCATCATCCGGATCTTTTTTAGAAAGTTGTTGAAGCATTCTCATCAGGAGATGACATTCTCCCACCATGGGGGAATTGATGCATGCAAATTTTCGTTTATTTCAGTTTTTTATTGTAATTTAAATATTATAATTTTTATTAGTTTTTTTATGTTATCCTATTATGGAAAACATCCAATGATCATGAGTAGGTAGTGTTTGGGCATGGCAAACCTTGGATGTGCTAGCTACTTGGGTTCATTGGTCTTTGGGCTGTTGGTTGCCTCTCGGGTTGGACCTTGGCTGCTCAATTTTGGACTGTGTTCTTTGGAAGCAACTTGGTTCTAGCTCAAAAATGCTTTAGCTGATGTTTAGCTCATTTATTTGAAAAAGGTATTCATCTTGTTAGCTCATTAAGTGGAATTGGATCTTTGCCTTTTCCCCTTCTCCGTGTCCCCTCAGTTTCTTCCTAGTGTTGTTTCCCGTGGCTGGTTCTTTCTCCCTTTTTGGGTGCTGGTTCTGATTCTCTGTGCTGCCCCTTTGGTTTTTCCCCTGGCTGCTTGTCCCGTGGCTGCTTTACCCGATTTTCTGTGATGTTTTTGGGTGATGTTCTAGAATAAATTATGGCCTTTAGTTCCCCTTCCTTATTGGTTCGGTTGGAGGTTGAATGGCTGTTTGGCTCCCCCTTTTCTCTTATAAATTGAAGATGTTTTTAAGTATAAAGGGTTGTTAAATATTTGAGCAAAGTCTCAAAAAAACTTGAGGGTTTCTTCTTCATTGGAAAAGTTTGAGAGCTTGTTCTATTTCTCTCTTCCTCCTCTCTATTTCATCTTGGGCTTCTAACCTCTTCTTCTCTCTGCAAGTTCCACTCCACTTGTATCTTTCTTCTTGAGCTATTGGAGGTGTTTGTTGGCTGATTTGGCGACATTTGCCGGAGGAGTTTTGTTGGATGTTGGACCTTGTGGTGGACCCTTGGTTTGCAAACCCTTATGCACTTATCTTTTTTTACCTATTTTTCGTTGCATGTGAGGAAACCGCTTGCCGATTGTTCTAATGATAGTGTTTTTTAATTTTAATGTTGTTTCGTTTGTTCGGTTTTTGTTTGTTTTGGTATTTTTTTAGATGTATGCATTCTAGTTTGAATCAAGTTTTGTTCTACTTGTCCTAGTGTTCTCCTATCTTGGCCCTTTCTTTCTAGTTTGCATGCATCATCTATGAACTGGTTAAATATTACTAAAGTTCTTTAAAAAAATTACACAAAGAAGTTATTCCAAAGAAATAATTATTTCAAATCACAAATTTTGCTACCTTTCCAGTTCATCGGGCACATTTACTTCGTTAGTAGTACAAAGCCAAACCTGATACTCATCTCAATGGAGACCATATGACCATAGGGAATAAGTTATTTCTCGCATGCTATTTACTAACTTCAATAAGAACGCATTTTCTCATAGTGCAAATGAAAAATGATTTAAATTTCCAAAAATACCAGTTATACGCATCTCAGTTAAAGGCATATAGGTAACAGCAAGAAACTCATATATTAAACTTTCTATGTACTTTTGTTTGTTTATGTCTATTTAACTACGTGTGCATGCATATAAAATCGTAATCTTCTTCTGTTTATCCTCGTGTACACACAAGTGTTACATGATGATGCATAGCACACATGTTTACAAATGTATATGTGCATTGACTATATCATTCGCAATATCCCAACCACGTTTATTTCTCATATTCTATTTAACATGTTGTATCCTAAATTCAAATGGAACCATAACCTACATTCCATTTCCCATATATTTAAATGCATATTTTGACAGCAAAATAATGTCTTAAAAACACAATTAGCATTGATTTGGATGTTACATTTCAAATTCTTAAATTAGATGACTTGTCAATTGACCACCTCCATATGAACCGTAAACTGTTGCATATTGAAAAAACTTGGTGCATATCTTTTTCCGTGTCTCCTATTGCACACACAAGTTGTAGGTGATGATGCCTAGCATACATCTTTACAAATGTATGTGCATTGGCTATATCATTCACAATATCCCTACCGCATTCATTTCTTATACTCAGTACTCTATTTGATTTGTTGAATCATCAATTCAAATTGAACAATCATAACCTACATTCCATTTTCATACATTTAACTGTATATTTTGACAACAAAATAATGTCTTGAAAACACAATTAACATTGATTTGGATGTTACACTTCAAATATTTAAATTTGATGTCATGTCAATTGACCATCTTCCATCTCCATATGAACCTTAAAATGTTGCATATTGTAAAAAAATTAGTGCAGAAGGAATAAAATTTAGAAAGCAAACTTGATAAACATCACCTGTCAAAATAATAGTCCAAACTGACAATAGTCAAGGCTTAAGTTAATCACAATAATAACAAGAATTTATAACAATTGAACAACAAAAAGAATCATGCATGTGTTTTTAAGAAAATATTGTCTTATAAAGTGGTACAACTACCACATTTGTAGAAAAGAAATAAAAGAATATTAATATAATCATTCTTTTATCAAACTTTCAATGAAAATGTTTCACATGGCATCATAAAAGTTAAATGTATTTGGAAAGAAAGCACCAACATGTATAAGATACTATCAGCCCAATAGTTTCCATCTCATATATAGAATCATAAAGGGGAAAATGGCATGTTCCAAAATCTTATAAAAGTATTCAATAATTTGATATCAGAAATAAGTAAAAGAGAAGAAGAAATGGGCCCTACTTATTATATGCATATGACCGGGCAATAACAATGGAAAGAAATGATGCAATCAACAAGACTCAAAACCTCGTTGAGATCAATGCATGAAAATAATAAATGGTGGAAGTATGATGGGGATAAATATTACAGTATACATGCAGCATCAATGGAGTCCAGACTACTACGTTTGATGAGACTCAACCCACGCACCCAACATCACCAAAAAAAAGGACTTCGGCATAAAATCATAAGGATGACATGCATATTTACCATCCCTGCAAGCCTTTGAAAAATAAAGGCTATATTCGCCTCTAACATATAGGAAAGCCACAAACTTATTGAGCAAATATATTATCAAGACACTAAAAACACAAAAATCGCCTGAAGCGAGAGATAAGGGGCTTGCTTTTGTTGATACAGAGCTAATAAATAAAACTCTAACCTGTATGGTGAATTTCTTGTAATAACTTAAATTTTGATATTTGCAGTAGGTTTACAAAATGATAAATCTCTATTAAAAAGAAACTCATTATAATTTGCAATTTATTGACCATCATCAAAAAAACATTTTCAGGAAGTGCAGTTTATGACATGTAATAAATCTCCATATGTCAATTCAGATATTGAATAAGTAAATTAATGCATATACACAACTCCTACAAATATAATAAATCAAAAGGGAGCAATAATGATCATATACAATAATATCATGAGATAATAATGAAACTCTATGAATTGAACATAAGAATCATGAAAAGGAGACATCAGTGCATTTTCTAGCCCATTTCTTTCATAATCCTTTAACATTAATTTCTGGCCCATCAACTTAACGGTGTTTGTTCTACTCTTTTATATACCCATCCAAACCACAGCCGTTGTTTTCAATAATCTTATGTTCATTAAAATAAAATAATAAGTTCAAATTGGGAGAGCTAAATAAGGAAAAAAATGACAAAATAGCAAAATAACAACATATATGTTACCTACTCTACGCTAACATGATCTCTCCTAGATTCCAAAGACAAATTTGACTGCTCGCCTAAAAATAAGATTATCCCCAACAAATCCGATATAACCAGACGCTAGTCCTATGGCACCCTAAACAGCAATCAATCAATATGCTTCCTTGAAGCAACAAGCCGGAAACAAGAAAGAAGAGAAAAACAAAACCCGCACCTTCAGCGGACCTCTTCGACCCAGCGTTCACCGTCGTGGTGACGCCCAACCCGTCCGCCCCACGCAATGACACAGCATTCAAACCCGCGCCAATATTTCCAGCTGAGTAGATAGCGACGCCGGGTATTTCCGTGCCTGGAGCTCTTAAACCATTGCTCTGAGTCGCGTAGATGTATGAAGCTTGTTCGCCCGTAATGGAGGTTCCATCAGTGGAATAAAAGGAGGAACCGATGGCGACAGGCAGGTAGGGCTCGGTGCCGTGTAAGGAATAACCGCCTCCAACGCCGCCGGGGAAGCTCGTGCTATAGTAGATCTGTTTGGCCATTTGGCGAGGAGTGGCGGAGGAATTAGGGTTTATGGCGGCGCGAGTGTGCTTATGGGGCTTCGATTTCACTAGAGGAATCAGATTTTATGGAACAATTAGGCGTCGATTTAAATGGCAAGGCTGAATTTTCGACTACGGCGGTTTTTTATCTTATTAGGCTTCCCACAATCCACATCCTCTCATTGGGATAGGAATTGTTTTGTGTAATTATTCTCTTTGGTTAAAAGGAATTTTTTTAAAAGTAAAATTTACATGCATATCATTTTATTTTATATTATTTACATATCTATCATTTAAAATATTAATATTACATGTCTATCACTCATTTAAATTTTAATATCAAATATATCACTCATATAACATTCATATCATTTATATCATCATGCATCTAAATTTATTCTATGAGTGGTAGGCTTGTAATATTAATCTTTTTTATATTAGATATGTAAATAGCATGAAATAAAATGGTATGTATGTAAATTCCCTTTTTTTAATCTACCATAGATTAAAGTGTTCTTTCTTTAAGTATTTTATTTATAAGAAAGTCGTCTCAAATAGAACATTATAGTGAGAAATTTGACTTTATAAGTCTGGTAATATCTAAAATTTGACATTTATGCCCAATTTTATTTGCTTAGTCAAATATGATTGAAAAAAGAATAAATGCTCTCTATGATAGAAAATTGATGTTTTTATTTGCATGCAATCGTCATTATTACAATGTCATCAACTTTGTTATAATATGAATGACGTGAGAGGAGAATCTTAGATTTAAAAAAGAATAAGAATGGAACTCTATAGTCAATGTTAAAGCATTGATCAAACATTTGCTTTGAATATTATAAGCAAAAATTAGATTTAAAGAAGGTTTGACGAAGGTATAAACTTCTAATAGGAGTTCTGAAGCATGCTCATACACTAAACCCTAAATCAGTAAATCCTAAACACAATTAAGCCTTATATTATATATTAGAAAAATGTTTGAATAATGTTCAAATTATATTTCAACTTCAAATAGGGTTCAAGCATGGTTTAAACAAGGAGTTAAATGATGTTCTAACATTTTCTCCCTCATTATCTTTGATATATTATGAAAAATTTTTATTGATCAGGCACGAATCTCGAGGCAAAATCAAGTCTGAAATTTCAAAAATTAAATCTGTGATCATTTGAACTCTGATTTCAATAAACTTACAGTCTAACTGAGCGTCTCAAAAAAATGAACCCAGCGACACCAAATTCAACTCAATCCGAGCCCAAATGTGTCTGAATCAAAGACCCGAAGTTATGTTGGAAGATTCAAAACACAATTTGGATTACCAAACAGTTTCCAAACATGACATTCTTATAGTCGAATCGAGTGGCTCAACGAGACAAATCCAACAAGCCCAAGATCGCCAAATTCCAATATCATTAAGACCTTCCAATGTCTGACAAACGGTCCACAATCAAAGGATTCAATATCAGCCGTCCATCCGAACCACTCCATATTTTTCCTTGATCCTCCTCCTATTTAAGGGTCATGATATCCTCAAAAACTTATAAATAGCCCCTCATTTCTCTTGAGAGGGAACCCAAGTAAGAAGAGAAGAAGGAGAAGAGAAGAAGAGAAGGGGAAAAGAAATTCCTCCTCGACCACCGCCGGAATTCTACCCGACTTACAAACGACGTCGGAATTTTGTCCGACTTCCAAGTGACGCCAGAATTCTTCCCGACTTCCAAACGACACCAGAATTCTGCCTGACTTCCCAGTGATGTCGGAATTATGTCTACCTTCCAAACAACGCCGGAATTACGCCCCCAACTTTCCAAGTGACGCTAGAATTCCGCCTGACTTTCTAGTGACGTTGGAACTCTGCCTAATCTCCAAGTTACGCCGGAATTTTATCTAATCTTCGAGTGACTCTGAATTCATCACAAAAACACAATTTGTTTGTAACTGGATTTCAATCCGGAAGTAAAATCATTGTAATCTAATCTTTCTAAATTTTAAGTACGAGTCAGACTCTTCTATCACAAGCAAACACTAGTCGAATTCTTTCAAATGGGAGTGGCCCCGTGTTTTTTCCCTTTCCAGGGTTTCCACGTAAAAATTCGGGTGTTTTTATTTCTCACCTGTTTGTGTATTGGATATCCGTACAATGCTGAGATGAAAACTTTCTAACCATATCACCACGTAAATTATAGCCCGCAACAATCTTATATGAATTTGATTCGTTTAAATAGGATTTTTATGTATGCAGATGCCCCATTTAATCACACTTGTACAAAAAGGTATTGCATTCTTTTTGGGACATATAGAGTTGGGAATGCGATGGATAATATTATTACACAAATTGAGGCTTTTGATCTTTGTGGACGAGGTAAGAAATCCCCTTTTAAGTTGCATTTTAAAGCTCCTTAGTTGTAGTTCTTTGAGACCCTTATTCATCAACTTTTGTTGACGCTTGTTATAACCAAGAGAATGATGAGGGCTCCATTATATTCAATTCTGGAGGTAAGAACATTAAATTGGAATTAGAGTGTTTATTTTTATTATTGGGTTAAGGTTTGATGAATTTTCATATTAGTAGAAGTTTAAGGAGAAGACCATAAGTAGTAAGCTAATTGATAACTACTTGCATGGTGATAATAATTTGAAGAATGTAAACATTAAAAAAAAAAACATCTATGAAGTATGCCTAGAAAGATGATATATACGATTTATGTCTATATTTCCTCATTGATTGTGTTCTACTCAACCATGAGAAGTATCATGTTACTTTGTTGAGATGTTGTATTGCTCAAAAAATCCAAAAAAAAAAAAAACATTCTTAGGATACTAATAAAAAAGTACTATCATGGGAGAAAAAGCATGCTAAAATGATTGAAAAGTGATATATTACACTATAAGAGAAATGTAGTACACTATCATTTGACATGATATATCATTACAATAACGACTAATCAAGAAAAATATACACATTACCTTAGAAAGAGGACACACATAATATTGAGCAAAAAGTGCAATAAAGTTATGACTAAAAAATATCTCCTCATTACTAATGAATGAAAATGAAAGTTACATGCAAAGTATTGGGTTTTAAATGTTAATTTAGCTTGATTTTTATTGTGAGTTAACTTGTGCACAAATTTATAGTTGAACTTTGACCAATTTTATGAGCCCTGTGATTGCACTGCTTTATGTGAGTTTCAAAATAAAAACTTAGTCATGCTTTTGTCGGGTAAGTTCTAAAACCAAGTGATAAACGAAAATGGTGGGAGGTGCATGATAAAAATCATTTTTATTCAAATGTGGAAGTTTAAAATAATGGCGCCAATAATAATTTTTTTAAGCCCTGGGATTCATAGCTTCCTAATCTTTCATATTATATAATGAATCATGCCGAACAAGTAAAGCGCAAGTGGTAAGTTAAGTACTTATGAATGATTTCATGCAAACAATTCTTAGTTCTTATATAGTTATAGCCTTATTAACACCTACAAAAGGTTGCACATTGATTGTTGAGCCATTAATAAAATCACTATCAAATATATATTTCCTACCCCTCGATTAGACGACGTGTTAAATTTGATCTCATAGGCTTATTTTCTTTCAAAAATTGATACAATAATCACTTATCAACATATTATAATTCATTAAAGGGATGCATGCATGGAAAATACCTTTAAAATCTATGATGGACTAGGTGATGCCTTTTGGGTTTTCAAATGCCCCTAAAACATTTATAAGATTAATGAATGCTATCATAAACCTTTCATAAGAAAGTTTCTTGTTGTCTAATTTGGTGATATCTTAATTTTTAGCCCAAGTGAGACTAACCATCTACAACAACTTTTATAGTTCTTAGAAACCCGTAGGAAAGAATAAATGCACATCAACCTGTAGAAGTAAATTTTTTTTAATCAATGGTAGTTTTCCATGATTTAACATTTTCATTGCTAGAATCAAATATAATCCTTGATAGAATCAAATATAATCATTCTGAAGGTCAAGTTCTTTTAGATTGGCCACACTTCAGAGTTTCACTGAAGTATGAAGCATTTATGGATTTACTACTTCCTATTGCATATTCTTTAAGGAAATTAACATTATCTTTGCATCAATTACCAATGTTCTAAAATTGAAAAAAAAAATTATTGGACTCCTAAATTACAAAAAGCATGAGATTAGGTTAAGATTCTAAATACCTCGCTCATGTACTTGATGGGCTTGGACACGGGCGTGAATAGTTAAATGAGTGTAGCAATTAATGCTTAGATTTTATTTGATATAGATTTCCCACTAAATATGCAAGAATACGTGTCTATCAAGTAATAAAGTGATTGAGATATTGTCAATCCCACGAGAAAGTGTTCTGTTATACTGCAATCAAACTAATACTATTTAGTACTTATGAAAGGTTTATCCCAAGATAATATAAATGAACTTCTTCACACCCTTTCCTCCAATGGTAAGATTGCTTACAAAAGACAGGCTAAGATCTCCTATAAAAGTAACTTACACTTCATTAGTCACCTTTAGACTTAACTCTAAGGGAGTACTAATGACCTACATAAAAAATTATAGAACTCTACATAAAAATGCCATAACCCCTTAACACAAGAAATGTAATACTAGTTATAGTAAGTGCATAATTGAAACAACCTCAGGCGTCATGGTGCTTTGACATAGTGGTGCAATCATAGTGGTGCTACATTGTTTATAAGATAAGAAAGTGCCTCAATGTTATTGGGCTTGCTCTGCTGCGGCGTTGCACTAGCTTAGCATGTATGTTGGCTATATTGATGTGTCGCTCTATGTTGCATTGACTTGGCATGTTTACAACTATGTTTTTCATCAATCAACACACCATTGCACTACGTACGAAAGTTGAGCACTTTAGTGTTGTAATGCTTGGCGCTCCATCATTTAAAATTTTGAGATTCAGGTGTTGCGACACTTCTTTTGATGTTGCAAAGCTAACCCCTTGGCTTCGCCGGGGTGCTAAATTATTTGATGTTTTTCCCTGTTGTTCTGGCGTTGTGATTCTCTGATCTAATATCGAGGTGTTGAAGATGTTATGGCACTGGTAATTGGAACGTTGCTGAGCTAGTTCAACACTTGTGAAGTGTTTT